TGTGAGAACCTTTCTTGGCTTTGCTTAGCATAAGGTGTTGTGTTTAAACCGGCAGGGGCAGTAGTTCTAGTTGTCTAGTTCTCTTGGGATTGTTTTCAGGCTAAGTTTGGGGGTGCCAACTCGAGCTCGATCGAGTTGGGTGTAAAAACCAGAAAAGTGGTAAAAGTTGGGAAAAACCCGAAGGAAAAAGAGTTTAGTTAAGTCCAGGGAGTTGGCAGTGTTAAAAAGGGTCTAGTAAAGATTTGGGAAGTTAAAAAAAGGGAAGTAAAAAGGGTTCTAAGTAGAATGAAAAGAAGGCAAAGCCTCAAGTGTCCAAAAAGGAAAGAAAAGTCCCCTAAGTGTTTAGAAAATCCCAAACCGCTAGATGTTACCTCGAGAAGCCTCTCCCTAGGATGTTCTTAAAAGAAAAGTGAGCAAAGCTCCTCAGTTTCTTGAGAGATCCCCGCTACTCAACCACCATACAAAAGAGACCCTCTTTGTCTCCTAACCCATAAACCCTTGAAACCAAATGAGTTGTTTGATCTTGCATGTTTTTGGTTCACTATTTTTGCTTAATGAATGTTAAAGGGATTTGCTGATTTGAATGCATTGTTTGAGTGACTGTGAAGTGGGATTGATGTTGATAAGCATGGTTAAATCTTAATGAATATCTCTCACCTTGTTGCATTCTAGAATCTCTAAGTTGGACATTTAGCAAATCGCTTTTGAGGACATGTTTTTAAGTGTTGAATCAGCTATTTTCAAACCTCATCTCTTTCTTGTTCTATTTGTTTGCTTGAGGGCAAGCAAAGTTCAAGTTTGGGGGTGTTGATGTACTTGCATTTTACATAGTTTTAGCACATCTTTTATGCATCTTTTGCATAGTTTTAGCTTCCATTTGCATCATATCTTGTTCCTTTTCTCTTCTTATGCATTCATGTTAGTTTTAGGTTGCATTTGCATACATATGCATGTTTGGTCCTTTGAAATAGGTCTTTTGGAGCATTCTGGAGCATATGGGACATGAGGAGCATGGAGGGACTTGGCACATGGACGCAGCTCAACTGGATACGCAAAGGAAGAAGGGAGAAGCCATCTTGAAGACCAGCTCGACCGTCTACTCGACCAACCGGTCGAGTTCCTCAACTCGACCGGCCAAGCTTCAACTCGATCGAGCTGAGAAGTCAAAGTCAAACCCGAAAAATGTTGCTTCCCCCTTGACTTCCTTTGACCCTAAACCTAATCCTCTTTGTATTTAAGGACTAAAAGCCACAAAAAAACAATAGAGCTTTACTTTATTTTTAAATGGACAAAATTTGGGAACCGGAAGAGGTAAGGAGTCCGAAATGTACCTCTGTGCCTCCACATTGTGGAAACTCACTTGTAGTGTATAAGATGAACTAGATGGACCCATACTTACCAAAACATGGATTAATAGCTTCTACACATGACTATGAGGACAAACATGAGTGAAACGGTCTCAATCCAAGGGAGGAACATCAAATGGACCAAATTTGGGAACCGGAAGAGGTAAGGAGTCCGAAATGTACCTCTGTGCCTCCACATTGTGGAAACTCACTTGTAGTGTATAAGATGAACTAGATGGACCCATACTTACCAAACATGGATTAATAGCTTCTACACATGACTATGAGGACAAACATGAGTGAAACGGTCTCAATCCAAGGGAGGAACATCAAATGGACCAAATTTGGGAACCGGAAGAGGTAAGGAGTCCGAAATGTACCTCTGTGCCTCCACATTGTGGAAACTCACTTGTAGTGTATAAGATGAACTAGATGGACCCATACTTACCAAACATGGATTAATAGTTCTACACATGACTATGAGGACAAACATGAGTGAAACGGTCTCAATCCAAGGGAGGAACATCAAATGGACCAAATTTGGGAACCGGAAGAGGTAAGGAGTCCGAAATGTACCTCTGTGCCTCCACATTGTGGAAACTCACTTGTAGTGTATAAGATGAACTAGATGGACCCATACTTACCAAAACATGGATTAATAGCTTCTACACATGACTATGAGGACAAACATGAGTGAAACGGTCTCAATCCAAGGGAGGAACATCAAATGGACCAAATTTGGGAACCGGAAGAGGTAAGGAGTCCGAAATGTACCTCTGTGCCTCCACATTGTGGAAACTCACTTGTAGTGTATAAGATGAACTAGATGGACCCATACTTACCAAACATGGATTAATAGCTTCTACACATGACTATGAGGACAAACATGAGTGAAACGGTCTCAATCCAAGGGAGGAACATCAAATGGACCAAATTTGGGAACCGGAAGAGGTAAGGAGTCCGAAATGTACCTCTGTGCCTCCACATTGTGGAAACTCACTTGTAGTGTATAAGATGAACTAGATGGACCCATACTTACCAAAACATGGATTAATAGGTTCTACACATGACTATGAGGACAAACATGAGTGAAACGGTCTCAATCCAAGGGAGGAACATCAAATGGACCAAATTTGGGAACCGGAAGAGGTAAGGAGTCCGAAATGTACCTCTGTGCCTCCACATTGTGGAAACTCACTTGTAGTGTATAAGATGAACTAGATGGACCCATACTTACCAAAACATGGATTAATAGCTTCTACACATGACTATGAGGACAAACATGAGTGAAACGGTCTCAATCCAAGGGAGGAACATCAAATGGACCAAATTTGGGAACCGGAAGAGGTAAGGAGTCCGAAATGTACCTCTGTGCCTCCACATTGTGGAAACTCACTTGTAGTGTATAAGATGAACTAGATGGACCCATACTTACCAAACATGGATTAATAGCTTCTACACATGACTATGAGGACAAACATGAGTGAAACGGTCTCAATCCAAGGGAGGAACATCAAATGGACCAAATTTGGGAACCGGAAGAGGTAAGGAGTCCGAAATGTACCTCTGTGCCTCCACATTGTGGAAACTCACTTGTAGTGTATAAGATGAACTAGATGGACCCATACTTACCAAAACATGGATTAATAGCTTCTACACATGACTATGAGGACAAACATGAGTGAAACGGTCTCAATCCAAGGGAGGAACATCAAATGGACCAAATTTGGGAACCGGAAGAGGTAAGGAGTCCGAAATGTACCTCTGTGCCTCCACATTGTGGAAACTCACTTGTAGTGTATAAGATGAACTAGATGGACCCATACTTACCAAACATGGATTAATAGCTTCTACACATGACTATGAGGACAAACATGAGTGAAACGGTCTCAATCCAAGGGAGGAACATCAAATGGACCAAATTTGGGAACCGGAAGAGGTAAGGAGTCCGAAATGTACCTCTGTGCCTCCACATTGTGGAAACTCACTTGTAGTGTATAAGATGAACTAGATGGACCCATACTTACCAAACATGGATTAATAGCTTCTACACATGACTATGAGGACAAACATGAGTGAAACGGTCTCAATCCAAGGGAGGAACATCAAATGGACCAAATTTGGGAACCGGAAGAGGTAAGGAGTCCGAAATGTACCTCTGTGCCTCCACATTGTGGAAACTCACTTGTAGTGTATAAGATGAACTAGATGGACCCATACTTACCAAAACATGGATTAATAGCTTCTACACATGACTATGAGGACAAACATGAGTGAAACGGTCTCAATCCAAGGGAGGAACATCAAATGGACCAAATTTGGGAACCGGAAGAGGTAAGGAGTCCGAAATGTACCTCTGTGCCTCCACATTGTGGAAACTCACTTGTAGTGTATAAGATGAACTAGATGGACCCATACTTACCAAACATGGATTAATAGCTTCTACACATGACTATGAGGACAAACATGAGTGAAACGGTCTCAATCCAAGGGAGGAACATCAAATGGACCAAATTTGGGAACCGGAAGAGGTAAGGAGTCCGAAATGTACCTCTGTGCCTCCACATTGTGGAAACTCACTTGTAGTGTATAAGATGAACTAGATGGACCCATACTTACCAAACATGGATTAATAGCTTCTACACATGACTATGAGGACAAACATGAGTGAAACGGTCTCAATCCAAGGGAGGAACATCAAATGGACCAAATTTGGGAACCGGAAGAGGTAAGGAGTCCGAAATGTACCTCTGTGCCTCCACATTGTGGAAACTCACTTGTAGTGTATAAATGAACTTGTAGTGTATAAATGAACTAGATGGACCCATACTTACCAAAACATGGATTAATAGCTTCTACACATGACTATGAGGACAAACATGAGTGAAACGGTCTCAATCCAAGGGAGGAACATCAAATGGACCAAATTTGGGAACCGGAAGAGGTAAGGAGTCCGAAATGTACCTCTGTGCCTCCACATTGTGGAAACTCACTTGTAGTGTATAAGATGAACTAGATGGACCCATACTTACCAAAACATGGATTAATAGTTCTACACATGACTATGAGGACAAACATGAGTGAAACGGTCTCAATCCAAGGGAGGAACATCAAATGGACCAAATTTGGGAACCGGAAGAGGTAAGGAGTCCGAAATGTACCTCTGTGCCTCCACATTGTGGAAACTCACTTGTAGTGTATAAGATGAACTAGATGGACCCATACTTACCAAACATGGATTAATAGCTTCTACACATGACTATGAGGACAAACATGAGTGAAACGGTCTCAATCCAAGGGAGGAACATCAAATGGACCAAATTTGGGAACCGGAAGAGGTAAGGAGTCCGAAATGTACCTCTGTGCCTCCACATTGTGGAAACTCACTTGTAGTGTATAAGATGAACTAGATGGACCCATACTTACCAAAACATGGATTAATAGCTTCTACACATGACTATGAGGACAAACATGAGTGAAACGGTCTCAATCCAAGGGAGGAACATCAAATGGACCAAATTTGGGAACCGGAAGAGGTAAGGAGTCCGAAATGTACCTCTGTGCCTCCACATTGTGGAAACTCACTTGTAGTGTATAAGATGAACTAGATGGACCCATACTTACCAAAACATGGATTAATAGCTTCTACACATGACTATGAGGACAAACATGAGTGAAACGGTCTCAATCCAAGGGAGGAACATCAAATGGACCAAATTTGGGAACCGGAAGAGGTAAGGAGTCCGAAATGTACCTCTGTGCCTCCACATTGTGGAAACTCACTTGTAGTGTATAAGATGAACTAGATGGACCCATACTTACCAAAACATGGATTAATAGCTTCTACACATGACTATGAGGACAAACATGAGTGAAACGGTCTCAATCCAAGGGAGGAACATCAAATGGACCAAATTTGGGAACCGGAAGAGGTAAGGAGTCCGAAATGTACCTCTGTGCCTCCACATTGTGGAAACTCACTTGTAGTGTATAAGATGAACATAGATGGACCCATACTTACCAAAACATGGATTAATAGGTTCTACACATGACTATGAGGACAAACATGAGTGAAACGGTCTCAATCCAAGGGAGGAACATCAAATGGACCAAATTTGGGAACCGGAAGAGGTAAGGAGTCCGAAATGTACCTCTGTGCCTCCACATTGTGGAAACTCACTTGTAGTGTATAAGATGAACTAGATGGACCCATACTTACCAAAACATGGATTAATAGCTTCTACACATGACTATGAGGACAAACATGAGTGAAACGGTCTCAATCCAAGGGAGGAACATCAAATGGACCAAATTTGGGAACCGGAAGAGGTAAGGAGTCCGAAATGTACCTCTGTGCCTCCACATTGTGGAAACTCACTTGTAGTGTATAAGATGAACTAGATGGACCCATACTTACCAAAACATGGATTAATAGCTTCTACACATGACTATGAGGACAAACATGAGTGAAACGGTCTCAATCCAAGGGAGGAACATCAAATGGACCAAATTTGGGAACCGGAAGAGGTAAGGAGTCCGAAATGTACCTCTGTGCCTCCACATTGTGGAAACTCACTTGTAGTGTATAAGATGAACTAGATGGACCCATACTTACCAAAACATGGATTAATAGCTTCTACACATGACTATGAGGACAAACATGAGTGAAACGGTCTCAATCCAAGGGAGGAACATCAAATGGACCAAATTTGGGAACCGGAAGAGGTAAGGAGTCCGAAATGTACCTCTGTGCCTCCACATTGTGGAAACTCACTTGTAGTGTATAAGATGAACTAGATGGACCCATACTTACCAAAACATGGATTAATAGCTTCTACACATGACTATGAGGACAAACATGAGTGAAACGGTCTCAATCCAAGGGAGGAACA